ACCCACTGTACCTATGGTGTACATAGACTATATTGTTTGATGTATGTTTATCCACAATATAGAGACATCTTACAATTTTGTGTCGAGGAAAATTTTCAAAATATTGTGAACTCTGTGAAAGACACTGTAATGACTATGACTGCCATATAATTCTACATTGTGAACATTATATGTACAACAGGAATCAGTTCTTTTCCAAACTTTTAGATCTTTTTCATGTCAATGTGTCTGTACAAATAGAATAACTGCCCGAAGATGAATTCCTGTTTCTCTTTTCTTGAGGTGAAATACCGGTTACTGAACACATTGATGAACTGTCATGGAGATGTATGATTGTCCTATTTTGTAAATATCTGTATTCCATGGTATCCTCACTCAAGTGTGTATTGTAGATCCTTCCTCGCCTTTGCTCTGTACATGTGTATACCCGCCTTGTGAATATGTTGTTGTAAATATTTGGTGTATATATGTAAATGATCTTCGGATTGAAATCTGGAGGAAATAAAGACATTCATTCATTCATTCATTCATTCATTCATTCATTCATTCATTCATTCATTCATTCATTCACTAGAAATGGTGATCGGTATACCAGTATGGGGGATTCACAACGTCAGCTTGCATGAATCTTTCACCATAGGCAAATTGATAAACCGCTAACAGCAAACAGGCCAGACTCAAGATCGGGAAGACCACGAGTCACGACACCGTCCCAAGACGGCTACATCAGGCAGATCCACCTTAGGAACAGATTCGTGACGGCGACGTCAACAGCGCAACACTAGAACACGCCATCAACAGAAGAACATTCCTTCGACGACTTGGTATTGCTGCTAAACGAGCCTACCGCCCCTTCCGTGGAATGGCTTTGACCCGTCTACACCGTCAACGAAGTCTGCAATGGGCACAACCAACGTGAGTGTCAGCGACGTGACTGGGAGAGAGTGCCATTTACAGATGAAAGTCGGTTCAGAATCAATGTCAGATTTCGAGATTGTCAATGTGGTGGAGAGCCACTGGTGCGAAACTGCGTTCAAGAAGTTCATCTGTTCGATGGAGGTGGCGTCATGGTATGGGGCGGCATTTGTGTCCAGAGAACTACAAGAATGGTTATCATCTGAGGACATCGGAATGCGCAGGGATACAGGGATGAAATGATGAGACCTTTTGTGGCGCCCTTTACTTGACAACATATTGCCTTGGCCAGCGCGTGCTCCAGACATTGACCCAATTTACCATCTCTGGAATCGCCTTGATCGTTAGCTGAGACAGCATGTACCACCTCCGGGGACCGACAGGAACTTGAACAGATCGTCATTGAGGAAACGTGTGTAAGGATGCCCAGGGTGGACACAGTCGCTGTTGATGACGTGTCCCCTGACTCCTGTCTTATTATATGACTCAAATGCAAGGCCAGCATAACAATGAATTTTTAGTCAAATTATTGGAAAATGATTCTTTCTGTAAAATATTTATCATAAATCTCATATACATCTTTGTTTCTATTTTTGGTCAAGTGAAGTCAGTGATAACTTTCTGTTTCCAGGTAGTTTACAGTAAGTAACATGTATGGTAATTTCCCGATAAACTTCAGTTGTTTAACGCTATTTGTTAACATAGTTCAGCAGAAGCGTGTTGACGAACATGCACACGAAACATTATTGTCCACAGAACATGCACATGAAACATTATTGTCCACAGAACATGCACACGAAACATTATTGTCCACAGAACATGCACACGAAACACTATTGTCCACAGAACATGCACACGAAACACTATTGTCCACAGAACATGCACACGAAACACTACTGTCCACAGAAAATGCACACGAAACACTATTGTCCACAGAACATGCACACGAAACACTATTGTCCACAGAACATTATCACGAAACACTATTGTCCACAGAACGGAACATTATTGTTCACAGAATATGCACACGAAACACTATTGTCGACAGAAAATGCACACGAAACACTATTGCCCACAGACAATGCAATCGAAACACTGTTGTCCACAGAAAATGCATACGAAACACTATTGTCCACAGAACGAAACATTATTGTTCACAGAACATACACACGAAACACTATTGTCCACAGAAAATGCACACGAAACACTATTTTCCACAGAACAAAACACTATTTTCCACAGAACATGCACTGTAAAATGTGACTTCAGAGCCCCTGTTGTAACTGTACGACTATCGCAGTCCTATACCTCCTATGCAGAAGTCTTTGTTGGAAGCTCGTCCCTGGTCGATATTCCAGTGTCTATGTAGTGAGTGAGTGAGTATAGTTTTACGCCACACTCAGCAATATTCTAGCTTTATGGCGGCGGTCTGTAAATAATCAAGTCTGAACCAGACAATCCAGTGATCAACAACATGAATGTCTATTTAACAAGTATAAGACACTAATTCTTCACGGTGTAAATTTCTAAGTGTGAATAGCGTAAGCATGTACATCGTATAAAGTATATATGTTTACGCTGATATTATAATATTTTGTACGTACGACAAGCCATGTCTATTTGCTAGTGATCCAGCGAGTTTGAGGTGTGGAGATCGAGCCCACCTGTGACCGGGTGTAAAAACCTTGGAGTCAACTTTATGTGCAGACTCTTTCAGTGTTGTCACAACCCCTAGTGTACAGTACACAATCCGAAAGATGTCCGAAAAGACATTAATTTAAAAATAGTCGATTTTCATAAACATCTGGGTTTAATCTTCACGTCTAACGGGAGTTGGCATCATCATATTGAAAACATTATCAAAAAGACATAAAAACTGATTGGAGCATTTCGGAAATTAAAGTTCCTACTAAATAGAAGAACACTAGCGAACATATATACTGTATTTATAAGGCCACACTTTGAGTACGCATGCGAGGTATGGGATGCATGTTTGATTGAACAAGCTAATAGATTAGAAAAACTTCAACTTCAACTATGCAGCTCGCATAGTTACTGGTCTTCCAGTTCATTGTATTATGAAACGGGATGGGATCTACTTTCTGAGAGAAGGAGAAGACGCAAATTAACATTATTATATATAAAATTTAAAAAGGTCTGACACCAGTTTTTCTTCAGGATTTACTCCCATCTGTAGTAGGCAACCAGACAAGTAATGAGTTAAGAAACTCCAATAACTTTAATCAACCATGTACAAGACTGAGGTACTCAACGTCATCTTTTATTCCATCAACAGTTAAAGTGTGGAATAATATTCCCTTAGCTACTAGAAATTGCAACTCTGTTGCATCGTTTAAATCTTATATCCACGTGAAGGAAAAATGCGCACCTATATATTATTCATATGGAATAAGGAAGTTCAATGTTATGCACACTAGATTAAGATATATGACGAGTACACTTAATTATGATTTATTTAGAATAAATGTGAAAAATGATGCATCATGTCAATGTGGCCATAGATGTGAGAACATTTTTCATTACTTCCTTGAATGTCCATTGTATACTATTCAAAGATATAAACTTTTTAAATCTTTAGAACATATTGTCAAAAATAGAACACTGATTGATATTAATCTTATCTTACATGGCAATGCAGGTCTCTCAATCACTGAAAACCAGAATGTTTTCAAATACATACATATCTATATCTTTCAAACAAAACGCTTTCTCAGTTAGCATCTGTTGTACATATCCTAGCCTATGTCTGTCACTTGTGTACATGTACTTTGTTGTAAGATGAATTGTGTAATTATCCGGAGAGGGCTTTTTTTAAGTTGGATAACTTGAATGAATAAAATATGTTTAAAACAAGTACACAATCTTGGGCACTTAAAAGAACCCACGAATCCGTTGGTATATGACCAGATGGTGGCCACATGAATAAGTGCAAACACCCAGTTGCGGGTACAGCAACGTGCAGCAAACTTGGACAAAGTACTGTGACTATATGTCCCAGTCCACCCAGCTGTGAATGGGTACCTCGTTAGTGTGAGAAAGCCGTGAAACCGTAAGGGTGAAGCCTTGTGGCTGCCAGAGTTGTATGATCCCCGGGGAGTTGAGATTGATAATACGATGTGCCATTGAGATTGACATCCAATGATCGAGGGGAAAATCCCAGCGCCTTGAGCATGTACTAGTTGCGTGAATATGTGCGCTATTTAAATATCCTATAATAACAATGATAATAATATTTGTTGCTACAAGTGGCATTCATGAACAAGTTTATTAACATCTACCTCCTTTAACTTCCCAATTGGAACTTGAACGTCGAGGTAGTGAGTGAGTGAGTATGGTTTTACGCCGCCTTTAGCAATATTCCAGCAACATCACGGCGGGGGACACCAGAAATGGGCCGCACACATTGTACCCATGTGGGGATCGAACCCGGGTCTTCGGCGTGACGAGCGAACGCTTTAACCACTGAGCTGAGGTAACTGGAGTTTCAGTTCCTTATATATTCGTAATCTACTCAAGCATAATTGTGTTTTCAAGTTGAAAACGCCATGTGTTTATTATAATCCAAGTAGTGATATATTTCTGGATACACACATTCCCAGTTAATCGTTACAAGTCACGTAACAATAGGCATTAGTTGCCGCGAATGACTAAGTATTATGTTAGGATTTAACACTAGTGCTCCAGCAGTGATTCACTGCAACAATCTGGAAATATCCCAGTTACACATACGTATTACTGAGGAGAACACTGGCTTATATAAATTTGCAAATCGATCTGTTTACATATATTTTTCATAGAATCTGAATTGTTTGTTTGAATGACGTGCTCTCCATCAATAGCAGGTCAGGTCATAAGGTATGACCGAGCGTGCTGCTGTAAAGTTCATTTCTCTTACTCGATCGGCTTGTACATGATCAGTGTTGTCAATCAGTTGTCAATATCAGATGAGGGTGGTGACCTGACCCGGTCATGCTGACTGTCAACACCCGTCATCCCGGGTTGGAGGGACTGTAGCAAAATATCACTGCAGGGATAAGGTAAACTAAATATATCTCTAAGTTATAACAAGTAAACAGGGGCCCGGTGTGGAGACGACATGGTGTTCGCTATACTAGAAAACCGGTTTTGGGAAGCGAATGCCTTGTGTGACGGTATTGTGAGAAGGTGAATAGCGAAATAGGTCTTCTGTCGATTTACTGAATATTGCATACCTGCCTTCTCCAACTTCAACGGGCCAGCCGCTCTTTCAGTGTAGCAAAAGCCCTGACAGAGAGGGGTGCAGAAGGGATGACATATTGCCCTCACCCCCGGGATCTGGACGTACGGCTTGGTTGTTATTGGCTTGTCGATAGCGTGTCTGTTGCATCAGCGGGTATGGCGAGCATTGTGTAGAAGGTGGAAACCTGGTGTCAATTTCACTGCATTTCAAGTGCTTCGCTTGGAGTTTTAGAGATTTGGAGTGAAAGATAATTCAATATGAATCACTTTGGTGGGGCAAAGGAGTCCCTTCATTATCCGGATCTGGCTCAACGGATGCAGATCCAGAAGAACACATTCACCAACTGGCTCAATGAGCAGCTGAAGTCCAGGAACATCGTCATCCACGACATCAGGACCGACTTCCACGACGGCGTCAACCTTCTGGCCCTGGTGGAGGAACTACAACATCGGAGATTCGGGGGTGTTGTTAAGCATCCAGTGAAACATTTTGAGAAGTTACAGAATGTGTCTGTGGCTCTTGATGCCATCTCCCGGGACGGCGTGCGCATCGTCAACATCGGTAAGTTAACACGTCATTGCATGCAACAGTATGATACATTGCTATTGAAAGAGATAAATTATAACACTGCACACAACTGAGGTGTGTGTGTGTGTGTGTGTGTGTGTGTGGGGGGAGGGGGTTGTTGTTTAAGATGGGGGTCTGGATATAGTTTGGTGTGGGTATGGAGGGGGAGGAGTGGTTACTGGGATGAAGGGGGTGAGGGATGCGGATGGGGGTGGTTAAGATGAAGGCTGGCGTTGGGGATGCCGATGAGGATGGAGAGGCATAGTGTAGTTGACAGCACATATAAATAATATTGCAGACAACATCTGTTTTGTATCTCTTTTCAGCATATATTATCATTTATGTTTGATCAGATCAACAACTGTTCGTATTGTACATATCATCAACAGTGTCTGATTGCAGCCTGTACTATTGTGGAAAGATAGTGTCTTGTGTAGCCTCATCACAGATACGCATCGATGAGTTCAGCCTCTTGGCTGTCACAGAAGCCCATGTATTTTCACGTTCTGTTTACCGTGAATAGAACATCTTGTTACACCCTCTGTCTGAAAACGGTCTTTGTTAAATCCTTAAATCCATGAATTATTGACAAAACTCAGTTTAAGCTAAACGCGAGTCTGCATCTCATTGTTTGCATGGAATGAATTAATTTTACATAAAAGTTGATCGATCGCACTCTGTGTGACACATGTCACAACGTTATTAATTGTTATCGGCAAGACAGTGTTTGCAGAACGAAATCAATTACGTTCTGTGGGTTGTTAAAAATAACATGACAAAACACAAAGAATACCCCAGGTCGTATCATATCTACCCAGCGAGTGGTATACATGGGACCACATCGTTTTATCACGTACAACCAGATCTCTGTACTCAACACAAGTGTATAATCGATCTAAACTAGGTTTTACCTCAGGCGATGTACGTATTGCTGAATATTTGATAACCTAGAAACCTACGGATGCAAGAGAAACAAGTACAGATTGTTAAAACCTGTATTTATCTAGGTTTTTGTTGTATTATGTAGCAACCGCCGTTACTACCATAGGTACTGGCATGACATGACATTACATCAATGATCGTAGCACATGAATATGTCTGAGAGTGAATTCATTCTACTTCAGCTGTCATGAGCTTGTATACCAGTGTGCTGTGATATGTACATTACTGTTGACAGACCAGCTGAGACACATAGCAGCACACCTTGTACATGGTTAAACTTCACATGTCCAGTACACTGTGTCATTCTGATAGACTACCAAATACAAGTTTGCCGTACAGGGTTATTGTAGAGAGAGAATATGTGAAGGTTCTGGTATCTATTTTGACAATAAACAAAACGAAGTGCGTTTAAGTTTTCACTGGTATATCTCTCCGACCCGAGAAATAGAAATCCTAATGCTTCCTGTAAGCCGGTCAGGGAGTGTTATTAAAATGTCAAGAGTACCTGACGCGATGTGCTATATATAACCAGTATATGTAAGGTAGGGCATGTTTAGAAGGAATGTGACCCACGTTACACTGATGAGAGATAATTCGTACCTCCAATAGAATAAAATGGATACGAATACTATAACTTTATACTGTTTCTCGTGTTTTTTTCACGAGATCATCTAGACACTCAGTAATATTTCCGCTTTATGACGGCAGCCAGTATTAATGGAGTATGGACTGGACAATCCAGTGATGGACAGTGTGAACAATGACCAGGGACTCCTTTCACGAAGCAACCTTTACTAAGGTTAACCTTAACTCCCATTCTTTAACATTGCACTAAGGTTACCTTAGTGACTTACGATCACCTTAGTGCTTTGTGAAAGGAGGCCCAGGTCGTGGATAGAATATGATGTCACTCAGTCAACCAGGTTACCAGGTACATTACAGCCTCGTGCTAGTTACAGATAGGATTGCATACAGAGTATTAGTCTATTGGTTTAGATCTCGTTGATTTATGTATAACTATTCGTATATGTCAACATGAACCTTTGATGATTATATACAGAAGCGCGCAGAGACACATCCACGCGTACGCACGCACAAATACGCATACGCAGAATGTATGGCTGGATTGCGATGTGATTGATAGCATCATGACGTACCGCGTGTCCCGCCGTCACATTGTATATTAGTGGAAGTGCGCTATGCCCAACGAATACTTCGTGTTTGAAATTTAATAGCGAATATATCATATGGAGTGTTTAGTTTATGATGTACGTATGACTCATCTCAACTTTTAAATCCACCCGTGAAGATACGGGTAGAACTGATCTTCAGTAACCCATGCTTGTCGTAAGAGGCGACAAACGGGACCGGGTGGTCAGGCTCGCTGACTTGACTGACACATATCGTATCTCAATTGCGTAGATCGATGCTAATGCTGCTGAACACTGGATTGTCTGGTCCAGACTCGATTATTTACAGACCGCCGCCATATAGCTGGAATATTGCTGAGTGCGGCGTAAACCTAAACTCACTCTCTCGCTTTTGAATCCAATGTAGCCATTTCAGAGGTTACTGTAATAATCTTGGAAACCGATCAGATGCATGACAGCGATTCGTGGAAGAGCTGTTTGAGACAAAGTGGTAGTTCGGGTAGCCTAGTGGCTAAGCGTTCGCACGCCGAAGACCCGGGTTCGATTCCCCACATGGGTACAATGTGTGAAGCCCATATATGGTTCCCCCGATCGTGTTATTGTTGGAATATTGCTAAAAGCGGCGTAAAACTATACTCACTCCCGTTGCACACTGATGTCAGCACCGCTTCAACCATGCCAGAACAGAACACCGCAGTGACATGTGACCACCAAGACGTATATTATAGGACTCTCGTGTAGCTAACAGCTTCACAAAGGACGGATTAACGGATTATAAGAGACTTTAATGAGGCAATGGGACTACACGGGCTAGTGAAGGTCGGGACTGAGGCGAAAAGCTTTGTCAATGCATATCATAATCTTGCCTGCATATGTAATCTTTATATTTTTTATATTATGAGAAATATGTTTATATTTTCTTATGTTATTTTCATAATCATGTCCTAAAAAACTACCACACCTTGAGTGACTGACTGACTGAGTTTGGTTTTACGCCTCTTTTAGCAATATTCCAGCAACATCACGGCGGGGAACACCAGAAATGGGCTTCACACATTGTACCCATGTGGGGATTCGAACCCGGGTCTTCGGCGTGACGAGCCAACACCTTGAGTGAAGTCCATGCAGTAACGTGTCTCAATATAGACAGCTGTGTTTGAGTCTCTGTGATGGAATCGCAAACTGCCAATCGTGTGGGGTCGATGTCGACGTTCCTGTAATTGTATTGCCTAGATGTGTAGAGAAGCAACACTATATTTCTAATGTGAAGTTTACACGACATGTTGATTTTCCATTAAATCAGAGACGGGTCACGTGACATTGACGCTGATTTTCTATTGGATCAGAGGCGGCTCACATGACCTTAATGCTGACGTTCATAAACACATTTTAACGTTCGTGTATGTTTCACGAGACTAAAACATGTATACAATGACGGACTATCTCAACATTCCAGGCACTGTAACAGTGTGCGAAATAGCCACTGGCCCGCTAGCCCGTGGCTAGTAAAAATCCAGTCGGGCAAGTAAATCTCCAGTCACTAGCCCGACTTGCTAGTGAATTTTCATGGGGTCATTTTGTAAATATACCACTCTCTCCGACTTGTTAAGTTATAATACACTTTTAAATCATGCAAGATGATGAAACCCGTGCCATGCCGACAACATCTTATTCTCATCTCTTTTTGTAACATTTTGCTCAGTTTCTACATTCAAATTTCGGGCTAGTGAATAGCACTGAATACTTATGTGGACTAATAATTTTCAGGCATAGCCAGCCCGACTGGCAAGATAATTTGGAAGAAATTTTATCATCACGGACATACTCTTTACTCGGGCACTTCAATATAAACAACAAGTTGTTTATGTTAGAATATCTACGTTTGGGCCAACCGTAGCGTACCCGAAGAAAGCAAAAGATAGACTGCATCCAACACTGACAGTCACCAACATTTTACAGTTATCTATAAAATGTTCAATGCCTATTTCGAAACATCTTAATTATCACCTTCAAGTGACTGGTTAGTCTGGAAAGGAAGAATAGCCGTTCATGTATCCACATATTCACACGGTTAGAATGTTCAAACTCAATGCTCAATGAACTCAATTAATGTGAAAGTATTCTGAAATATGTATCTAGATGTTACATGAGCGGTGGGGATTCCAGGGAATAATGGCACCAACAATGCTGCCTCGTAGTGTTGGATTGAAGGGTCACCATGCTGTGACGCGTTTGATTCTTCAGCAAGGTGCCCAGTAACAGTGATCTGTGATCACCCTGTCAATCACTTGTTTGTTTGTGATCACATCCACTATTTGAACTAATATCGGCTGAGTCAGGAACCCAGACTACTGCACCATGTCCTTAACACGTGAACCTATTCATGTGGTGGTGTGTGGTCATGTGATTAGACCTCAGGTCACAAATCAGTTGAAGTTGAACAACGTTGGTCGCTCCTCGGATGGTTGACCGTGTTTGGCAGCTTGACTCCTGAGAGTTTCTAGGACTTCAGTCCTGTCTCACAACGAAGCACATGTGATACATGTGGTCTCACCTAAGGCAAGTGAGTTTGTTAAAAATTGCCTCTGTTCACTCAGCAGAAAATGGGTACCCGGTGGGATAGGTCATGTGAGTATTAACCTTCTAGCGCCTCACAGGCAGCTTGTGTTATCCGGGGTAATAATAACCAGATAGTTTGGGCACTTCGAGGATGCATTATGCGTGGAGAAAAGCACATGATAAATGGACTATTATAATTTATTATTATTATTACTAACCAACCATGGTCACAGTGAGTGTATCTAACATGTCAGGGATTGTTCATACAGAAACAATGAGTTGAAACTCCCATTTACTGTCTCCATCTCCCAGCTGAATGTAGGCGGTGTGGCTTCACGTGTG